TGTTTGAAGGGTTTTCTTGGGTATAAATGCTTTCGAAATCAACATTGTAGGCCGCAAAAAGCGGGGAGGGGGGCAAAATTCGTTAGATTCAACGATTAAGACCAGGAAAGAAGCCGCTTTCAGAGCCAGTTTAACTCGTAAAATGAATGCATCATTTATTCATCCATTCTTGGATCACAGTTTCGCTGCATGATTGGTTTTGTTGCGCACGAAAAGGGAACGTTCTCATAGAATAAAACCTGATAGACTGGAGAAAGTTCATTATCAGTGTTTCTTAAGGCGATATGTTTGAGAGGCAGAATTAAGTAAGCTACAATTCCCTATCGTGCTCTAATCGTGCTCGAGTCCCGCTTTACCTAAGTAAATGTCGAACAACGTTCTGAAGATCGTGGTCACGCGATAGTAGTATGCAGTTGGCATGGGTTTCCCTATTACCACGAATCCACCAACTTTATCTCGTTATGGATTATTATTGATTGGTATTATTCTTGTCTGTGTTTTTCCCTAGCTGAAGAAAGAAACCGTACAAGATATGTACAAAAAGATGATCCTTTTTAATACAATGGAGCGTATCCTATATGAGGCACAACGACAAGTATGTTTAATCCGAATCCATATTACATGGCCGCGCGAAGATACGAAATTTCTCTTCGAGTGCGAACGAGTGAAATATTATTTAAAACCCGCGAAGAGAAATTTCGTATCTCCAAGCGGCCATGTAATGTTTTATTTATTAAATAAACACCAATTAATGCCAAACCATGTGAAAGGCGCGATTTATTATGTAGCCATAGCAACGGCGATCTTTCCAGGCGTGAAGAAATCGTCTTTTTTCGGGAAAGCTTGCCTGGTATTTCATGGGTGTTTATATAATAAATATATATATTGTAGGCGATTGGCTTCCTTTCAAAATATCAGAAACTAAAACATATGATCATTACAATTTTACCGACGCCCGGTTTGCTCGTTGGTAGAGTGCCGGTCTGCTGAATATGAGGCCGTGAGCTCGAACCCCAGCAGGAGCACCAAAGGGTCTTTAAAAAAATTAGTAATAACCAATGGTTAGAGAGTACGGGCGACAACGATCGGAGGTCCAAAACGCTCTTGCTCAAGCGCTGTGCTTTGCGTACGTTTGCACGTGACAGATGATAAAAACACGTGTGATCAGATTACGATTGACATAAGGCCCAAACGCGCGTGATCAATTCCATTCATTCTTAGTCGGAGTCCAAACGAATACATGGGACGCATGCGTAATAGCAACCTGGAGATTAGGATTGCGGGCTCCTCCTTTCGCCCGCAATAACTGGTAAGACTATGCTAGCCGCGATTAAAACGCTTTTTTGAGGTCAGATGATAGTGTCATTACCCGGTGGCGTGAAACCTGATTGGCCTTGTCTCCTTTAAATAACCATGCGCATCAGCTGGAAGGAAAATGTAAAAGACTCCTTGACACTGTTCGGAAAGTGTAGGGGACCTAGGCCTTGATGTTATGGTCCATCCGACTTGCTCCGTCATCACTTGTCTGTGTGGGCGAGGTGAGGGCCGTGAGGGGTCCAAACAGGAACCGGCTTAAGCGGATGCAGAATGCGTCTTTAAACACGCTGTCGTCCAATCTCACCTCTCCAGTTCCTATGCTATTCAGCCACTGGTTGGAAAGAGAGGAAAACCGGCACCATTTGCGTTTCCATTTCATAGGGACGGATATCATTTTACATGACAAACTATGGTGAAGAAGGCACTCATTTTGGTAGCGCGGCTGCTCTGTTGCCTGAAGATGTAATATTCGCCCGGTACCGTGAGGCTGGTGTGCTGATGTCAAGAGGCTCCACAATAGACGAATACATGAGCCAGTGCTTTTCTAATCGGAATGACAATAGAAAAGGACGACAAATGCCTGTTCATTTTGGTTCTAAAGATCTTAACTTTGTTACTATTTCATCCCCCCTTGCTACTCAGATGCCACAAGGTTAGTAAGTGTTAACTGTGTTATGTTAAGGTTACCTTTGAATTTCAAACATCAGATTGTAAATTACTAGTAACAACAGTATGATGCAAGTTAAGGTTAAGAGATACCTGAAATTAAATGAGATTAGTCTGTGTACAGCTGCCCCTTAAATGAGGTCCACGTCTATTTAAGTAATCACCACGTGATCACATGTTTTGTGTCATGGGGCATGACAAAACTTGTAATACGAGCCCGAAATAAAGTAGAACCCCGATAACTCGAACTCGGATAACTCGAACTCCCTGCTAACTCGAAGTAAGTCCAATTTCCCTTGGATTTCACCCTACTTTTCAGTCATATTTACTTGGATAACTCGAATTCCCTTCCAGCTCAAACTAATTCATTTCCCTTGATTCACTGACGTTTACCTCGATAACTCAAATTCTGGTTCTTGTAACTCCACTCGGATGCCATCCCATTAGCTCTTCTTTTTGTAAAATCAGTAAAAACAATAAAACTAACTCTGGTCAACGAACAGATCACATTTTATCATTTAAAAAAATTCCCAATCATGTTACCTTTTCTGATAAAATAAAGTGATTTTACTTAACCCGTGAAACAGGTTGTAGAATACTACGCGCTATTACGCACTAATCCCATTGTGTTCTTTTGTGTACCTCTTGCTGTTTTGCACTACTTGACCTACTCGTTATTATCTGTTTCACGGTCCAAGTAAAATCACTCCGAGGCTTTCTGGTCATTTTTCTATATTTAGTTTGGTTTTCTTTGTGCTCAAGTCTCTTCTGGGAATTGCGACACAGTGGAGTCGTGAAAAATTTGCAATTTTGACCCTAAAGCCTCGGAGCCATGTTAGAATTTTATATATATCGAACGTGGGCTATGGTAAATTTCCCAAATCTCCCCTATCGTCCCCGGCCTATGTTAGGTAATCCAAGACAAACTTGGATTCAGGATTTCACGAGCTGTAGTTCCGGATTCATTGTCATATGAGCTTGGGTTCGGGATTGGATTCCTTAAGATGAATTGCGGATTCCAAGACCCATGATTCCGGATTCCACATGTAAAAATTTCCCGGATTCTGGATTACTTTACATGCGGCGGCTCTGACAATATCTTTCTGTTTCAGCAACTGGATATGCCTATGCAATGAAAAGAGCAGGCACTGGAAACTGTGTCATCTGTTACTTTGGTGAAGGAACCGCAAGCGAAGGAGATGCTCATGCAGCATTCAATTTTGCTGCAACTCTGGAAGCACCTGTTGTTTTCTGCTGGTGAGGTTCAACATAACGATAGTTAAAAAGCTTACACATAACCTGAGTTGTGAGTTAACTTTTGGCAATCATGGAAAATGTAGTTTTGTAGGTAGAGGCGTGTCACCGATTGGCTTCCCCAGTTTGTTGCGGACGAGACGTTGAAAGAGTCTGGGTTCGATTTTCGACTGGACCAACACTCAGTTGACTCAGGTCTTAACTGAAATAATAGATGAAGAATGTGTTGCCTGCCTCTAGGCGGGCAAAAAACAGATGGGTTAACAATCTAGTCTCCTTAGAATCTTAGAAAAGTACTAAAAACCGTAGGTTCGCTTTAAAATAACCCACAGGGATTTGGCCTTTTGGGACGTAAAATAACCCACGTTGTTGTTCGAAAAGAGAACAGGACGTAGACTGTCGCGGTGACCAACCGTTTATGGGAACATGAAGATGAAAAACGAGATTAGAGTAGTCGAGTGAATAGCGTTCAGTTATTTGGAGTGCCGATTTCAAAGATTCTGCGGCTTTCCGTTTCGGCTACAATGATTGAGAAGATTAAATTGGAGCGCGGCTTGCTTTGATGCATCTAAGTTTTCCTTTCTATCGACTTCTCGAAGATGTTTGCGGACCTACTTTTCTGTCTGTTTTTTTTTTAATAACAGTAACATTTTACTACCCGCGAAAATAGCAGCCTCTCATCGCAATACGTCGCTGGGAAACGTCCACGGGAAGACGGAGGGCAATGAGGGCAGAGAATTGATCGGCAAACTTCAGATTTCAGCCAGTTAGGCCTAGGCCAAATGTCAAACTTTTCATGAGACGCACCAAACTCTAAGTTGGCTCGACCTAAAGTAAGGTAAGAACGTCTGTGGGGTCAGACGTCAAACTTAGGGCGCGTAGAGCCAATCAACTGAGACAGACCCAAAAGCAATTTTGATAAATTTTCTCCCCAGCGAGGCTAAATATACATTATGATACAATTTTTTTTCTATCTATTACTTTAGTTCATCGTATGTAAAGATCGACGTTTGTCCCGGCGACGATCTTCATACGTTTTATCTGTCTGAGGCAGACGGGTAGAAGGTTTTGAACGATCCAAACGTAACAGAGCCAGACGTCGAACTTTTCATAAACTTAACACTCTTTAAGTTTGGTTCGTCTTATGGAAAGTTCCACGTTTGGCCTTGGCCTTATGGGTCCTACCTGTTTCCCATATTGGTTAGGATGTTGGACTCAAATTAAAAATGGACTAATAGCACCTACCATTTACCTTGTCAAGCCTCCCTGAAAATGGCCATAATCAGAGTCACCTCTGAGGCGAATATGTTCAAATGCTTCGGTCTTTTGTGATTAGATGTTATTGAGAAAATATACTGTTAGTGGAAGTCTCTTGATTGAGCAGCTTTTTCTTTTCTCTGTATCAACAGTCGTAACAACGGTTATGCAATATCTACTCCTACGGATGAGCAATACAGAGGGGATGGAATAGGTGAGTATACCTTAGGCCAGACGAACCAAAGCAAAAGCTCATTGCAGTCTTCTTGAACGTTTTTAATTATCACCGATGTGTTTTGCTCCTTAATATTTTTTTATCATTTATATTGACATTTACCTCTTAACCTCTTTCCAGCAAGAATGGCTAAAGTAGAAATTCAATACAATTTTCACATTTCATCTTGTGGAATGATGAAAATAACATAGTACCATGTGAGAGTACCGCAAAACAGGTTTCATTTGAGTATAGTTACACCAGTAATCTGAAATGTCAGTCTTCTCTTTGCACCAGCAACCCCTCTCCCCCCCGCCCCTAAACGGGCGGCCCGACGAGACAGACAGGTAACAATTGTTTGTTTTCTTAACCAATCAACATCAACTAACCATTTACGCAAAAGTTTTTGACGTCAAGAGAGATTAAGATTCACGTTTACGGCAAACGGCAAACGTCAGATTCAAGTTGAGAATTTCTCAGAGAGAAAAATAAGCAGATAAAAACTGTCCAGAACAGTTCTTATGGAGAAAACTGGCTTGAAACTACTTATTTTGGGGTAGAAGTAATAAACAGTAAACGACAACTAATGGGAAAACTTGGTCACGTGTTGCAAATTCACGTTTGCCGTTTGGCGTAAACGTGAATCTTAATCTCTTTATTCGTGAACTTACGCAACAGGACGGCAGAGGAAAGAAGACGGCAAACCTTGTGTGACAAGCGTGACAATGATTTTGTTAGAAATAACTTTTCGCCAAACTTCACTTTCCTTTAAACAGATCTTTTTGTAAGAGACCAGAAAACATTGATGTTAGTGACGATCACGACAAAATACGCACGTAATAGCCTTGTCACGTTCGTCACGCGCATGCGATTTGCCGTCCTGTTCTTCCTGCTGCCCTGTTGTCCAGTCTCTCGTCTGGCCGCCCATTTGTGGGTAGGGGGTGGGGCAAAGAGACGACGGACATTTCAGACTATTACACCATTATAGGATTTCGTCCACAAACACAAAAGGTAAAACAACCTTACAAGTGTAAAGAATAAAATGAATTAAAAGTTTGCGCAGTCATCACATCCCAGTCTTTCCTGAACTGTGAAAGGATAAGCATATTGTATCCTTTATTTTAAGCTGGGCGTAGCAGGGGCTATGGGATGATGGCTATTCGTGTAGATGGCAATGATGTGTTTGCGGTTTATAACGTTACCAAAGCAGCACGTGACATTGCAGTAAATCAACAGCGACCTGTTTTGATTGAAGCCATGACTTACAGGTAAGATAAAGAAGACGCTAAGTTGCTCGTTTTAGAAGTGCTACTGAGTTCCATCTCCGCCATATCGCTTACCTATATACTTTTGGAAACTGTCAGAAGAAGGAAATAATATTTTTTGAAAGTCTTTAAAAACAGTTGTTTTAGAGAAAATATCTGGGTTTCTAAGGATAAAACAAATTGCGCAATATACTATTCTGTGCGTTCCTTCGAGATGATTCGGAGCAAGATCGGTGATCCGAGATCCGAGGTCACTGCCATCATGGTGTCTCCAATGCTCTGATGGATACATTCAGCTCAAGAATTCACCTCTTCCTTGAATGAAGCTGATCCGGGTGATCTCGGATCACTAATCATAATCAAAATCTACCTAAAGGAACACAACCTGTGAGGTCATCTACCGTGGTTCTGTGGTGTACCTTAGGTGCCGTGGGTGGAACCATCCACTGACCTTGTATTTTGTGGTTTAACCGTGTTGTTCGTCTTGTTTTCCTTGGTTTGATCATTAGTCTATTTAAAATGTTGTTTTGGAGACAGAAAACTACGTACTACAACTGGCAGAGTTTAATTGGCGTGAAATGTTCAAACCAATCGCCCAAACGGATATGTAGCTAATACATTGTATAACCCAAACAGTTCAAAACGCCTCTTAAAGGGCACGCTCCATCTTTCTCAACCAACCTTGATCCAGTTCTATATCGTTGTCGGTCATAAACAATAAGGTCAAGTCATAGCTGACTTATAAGAAAAGTTTCAGTGGCCCTTTAAACTTAAAATATATAAACTACTGTATTTAAAAGTTGAAGTAACTTCCTCGCACTATTCATATGACGAATAGAAAAAGGGAGTTATCAGTCCACACTATATTACCTATGTCGGATTATTAACGCAGAATTAATCGTTTCGTGCTATACTACTTATGTTGAATGCAAAATCGGGTGTAAATAATTTGCACTATACTACTACGTCGACGAAGAAAAAGATGGGAATAACCGCTGACTCGCGCTATATACTCCTTATGTCCATTTTTAAAAACAGCAGTAAACGGTTCGTGATAAGCTACATACATCGACTAAGAAAATAATGCGTGCAGCCGCCTGCTTGCTCTATACTGATGACGGCTTACGAAAAAAACCAAGAGTAATATTTTCGCGCCATATTACTTTGTCGGCTTTTCAATTAAAATTACTCAAAATCCCTTCTACAGGACTGGAGATCACAGCACTATGGCGAGTGACGATAAAGCAATGCACCGCTCATCAAAGGAAGTCGATTAATGGAAAACAGAGCTCAATCCAATTGTGAGGCTTAGGTAAATAAGCAAAAGTTTATCAAACTTGGGTTACTTGTCTCACACAATATCCAGGACTAAGGAGTTTTCGGTCATTCTCATGAAAGATCACGCATCGTGTGTCATTGATGGGCACGCCAACCTAATATGAACAAAGTTCTCCAGAAAATTTGAAGTGGAAGAAGAAAAACATTAACATCAACTGATTAGATCGAATGGCGCGTCTTGGGGCTAACCCCTTTCATTGGAGAAGTCCGGGAGCCTCCTCTCATTTTGGGGTTCTTAGAAAGTGTGCTGTGCTGAAAGTATCTGTGCTGTGCTGAGAGATACTTTCAGCACTCGAAGATAAAATTCGTATCCTCAAGCGCCCTGTAACATCGTCTATTTCTTTGGCACAAGAAGAGGCAGAAAACTTTTTGAATTTAATTCGTTTTTGGACTATTCCTTCTTTTCATCGTCGTTTCGTCTTGAGTTACTTAAACGCCGTACGATCCTGTTTGAAGCTATCACCCTAGCCAGCATTTTCAAAGGGTATCCACTTTGCATTGACGGAATATATCTCTCAGGGTTTCTTGGGTCATAATAAAGGACAAAACTGCACGTTAACAAGTACTCAATAATTTTCGTGCAAGAGACATATAGCTCTACTGACCAAGAAAAATTATGGAGTAACGAGTGGGGTAGTAAAGTGTTCATTTTAGCTGCAGAATTACCGTCTTGCTCAATAAGAGCTGATGAACATATAAAGGGAATTCGAGTCCTAAACAAAGAAATAAAATTATCTCAATATGCCGATGACACCACCTCCTTTTGCAAAGATAAAGAGTCGCTTGGGCAAGAGACATATCTTCCTGCAAAGGAGCGAAATTAAACCCCCAAGCTTTGATCACTTTTTTGAATTCGTTAAAGACAAGTTAATTGTGCAAAGATCGATTTTTTATTCCAAAGGACAAAAAGCAAAATTTCTTTCACAATGGAAGCCTCTCCTCTCCTTACTGTAAATGATTATAATCTAATCTACGTATGCGTGAAGCAAGCCTGGTTGCAGTGTATGTTGTATTAATCGTTGGAATCTTAATTCTTAATTATAATTTTTTGCAACCTTACATTTTGTAGTGAAAGTGTTATTGTAAGTGATGTAGTGGTAATAAAGATCTCTGTTAATAAAAAAAAAAATAAAAAAAAATAAAGGACAAAACTCAAATGTGACACGATTTTCATTTACTACTAGACGATACATGGAGAACAAAAACTGGTGGAACAGTGAAGTGGAAGAAGAGTGGAAACAAGATTCTCTTCACCAAGTCACGCAAGCACTCTCAAGAGCTGACAAAGCATTAAAACCGCCTGTGAAAGACATGTTTACTGATGTGTATGACAAGCTACCGTCTCGCTTGAAGAAACAACACCAAGAATGCATGAACCATGTCGCCAAATACCCGCATGAATATACCACTGAACTATATGAGAATTAAGTTACAGTGAAGTTAACCTCAGCACTTCACCTCCAATTATTACAACAGAGCAAAACTTTAAAAGATTCTACCAGTTGTTGTCGTGTAGCTATATTCCAAATAGCTCTTTTTTCGCTGCAAAGAGAAATATTTCATGTAACGAGGGCCAGTGCAAATTAGAGCAGTTTACCGTTGTGATAAAGAAACGACTTTCGACTATCCATGATAAGAAAAATTTTAGGAGTAACCGTTTCGCTCTTTATCTTAAATAGATACTTTGTCTAAACGTCGGTCTATCATACAGTTCTAATCCGTAGGTAAGACCGACCTTGTTAAGAACCGTTTAGGCTGATGTTTGTCAGTTCGACACCCCTATACAAGAACCTGATTAGCCTTTTCAGTGCATTAGCTTTTCTTATTACAGGATACGGCTATTTCGAGAAAGGTTGCCGAAAAAAATGTGTACACGACACGACAATCCCGAAAGGTAATATGGGATATGATCAATACACTGTTCCTGACACTGTAGCTGTCGAACTTACTGTTTCTGCTTTCCTTTAGCACTCACAAACATATGTCCATGGTCTCTCGTGTCATTCTTTCAAATTTCTTTAAAGAACAGTGAACTCAAAACCACCCACAATACCTTTCGGGATTGTGCACTTTTTTCCGACAATCTTTCTCGAAATAGCTGTTTGTCAGTTTCAACTATTCTTACTGCAGTGGCGGATCCAGGGGAGGGCCCCCTTATTTTTAGACCTAACTGAGGCCCGAACAGCCGAAAAAATATTTTTTTGAGACCGCCCCCCCTCTTATCTCAGGGTCTGGATGACCGGGCTCCCCCCTTATCTGAAGGTCTGGATCCGTCACTGTTCTGTTAAGCAATTTTTAGACTCATATAACTACCATGTAGGTTTTTCTTCAGAAAATAAGAACCTACTTGAAAAGAATCTAAATGTCCTAAAGTTGTTATAGGTACCGCTTTTATGAGACCCTATTCAGGCTAACTTGGAAAAATCTAGGTTCTTATTCGCAGGGTACTACTGTGCCACACGTTCTTTCCGGAACTTGCTTCGGATGCAGCATCACTATACACAAATTTCGGCTAGAAGTGGGAAACGCCACTGCACACAAGTCAGGACCATAAGAAAATAGATGGCTTTACAAAATTACACTCTTGCTTATCGTTAATCAGTACTGTTAAGGAATTTAGAAAACACTTGCAGACCTGCCAACCCCTGCTAAGGAAAATCTGGAGACTCATGAAAAAGAATCCGGAGATTCTACAAAAAGTAGCGAGATTCTATTTTTTTCTCGATTAAAGTTAAACGAGTTTTGTTTCCATTGGGTGTTTATTCAAATATTACCTTGCTTTATTTGTGGTCCCTCTTGTAACAAGATGCTGCTTATGCTGGATTTGGAATGGATCGTGGATTGCCCGATTTTTCGATTCAGTTACCTGCGGTTTCAACTCGGAGCGATATTTCTTTACCTTCTTGTGTTTCTACGAATGTGTTTTCACAGCCATTGAACGCTTCGCGGGAAGGCGATGGCTATCATTTTCGTCCCAGGCCCCCGCCGACTACTCGCGTTGAATTTTTGGAATCGGATCTGAAAAGGGACTCACAGGACCAGCGGAGTACGGCAATGCAGTGGTCGAATACTAGCAAAGAAATAGGAACATTTCAGTCTGAAATTCATGTAACACTGAGTCCAGAGGAAGCTAAGAAGTCTATTGACTTGCTCTTGGAAAAATGGGACAGGCTTGAAGGACTCATGGGAGGTACCATGCACGAATTAACGAGAGAAAACGCCTAGAACATGTATAAGAACGTTATTCCACACTGAAACGTGAAGTGGACGATATTATCAATGAGTGTGAGAGTTTTTTTAGAAGAACAGACCCCCGGCTTTGGGAACTTGGAATGGACCGCGGACTACCAGTCTGGGTTCCGAAGCAAGATGACAATAAGTCAGTGCGCAGCGTTGCTACTCATGTTACCAAACATTCTGAGGCATCATCAGTTTCCTCACCGAAGAAATCACTAAAGAGGGTACTGGTGTCCAAAATGAAACTAGACTTACCAAGAGCTAGGGCAAAGGAAGATGCAGAAGCAGCAAGAATGGCTCATGAATATAAGCAAAGGATGGAACTTAGGCGCCTTGAAGAGGAAGCAACATTGGCTGAGCTTGAATGGAAAATTGAAATGGATAACTTGACTGAAAGTAAACTCCCCCCTGTTGTACCTAGCGCCTTGAACACTTCTACGTTTATTGTGAACAAGCAATCACACTCCACCCCAGTAAGGTCTGAGTATGTTTCTAGAGATTAGCCTGAAATTCATCCGATTGCTTCGAGTCGTTTTCTCCTCTCAACAACGTCTAAATCGACCAGCCGTTAATGCCGTCCAGTGACGTCACTCACTACCCGAAAACCGGGTAGTGATTTTGATCGGTTGATTGTCTAAACACTCGCATAATTATGTATACACCTATTTCAATTAAGGTTGCTTCGGCGAAGAATGATTCATGATGCATGATCCATGTTTCATAGCGCGCGGTGCATTACGGGAGCAAGCGTAGTTTGTAACATGCCCGCGCCATACTCTGAAGACCTCCGTTGGAGGGCGATTTGGATCAGGCATTTTTGTGGGTATTCAGAGGAAGAAACCTGTTTCCATCTTGGGATATCCAAATGGACTCTTAGGCGCTACTTACATGGTTATTTTGTTTCTGGTGATGTGAAAGCAAAGAAGATCGGAAGACCTCTGGGAAGCTTGCATTTCCAGCCGCCAGAAGAGCTTATAATTATGGAGGCAGTACTGGAAAATGCAACAGTGTCCTTAAATGAGATTTTTGATCAAATTTACAGAAGCACAGGCTCCGAATTCGCCCTTTCCTCTCTTCATTATTACTTCCAACGCAATGGAATAACACGCAAAAAGGTAATCTTAATATTTGCCTTCCACTTGCGTGGTTTAAATTGTCTTATATTAGCCTAACGATTTGTCCAATTTATAGGTTCGACAGATTGCGTCGCAGAGAAATGAAGAACTTCGACAAATGTACTGGGCAAATATTTGTTTGTTTGACGCTGATATGCTGGTGTTTTTGGACGAGAGTGGATTTGTAAGTTGGCACGCGACTTATTTACATGTACAGGCATATCGCATCAAAATTTATTTTTCTTTTTGGAAGTGTTGATCACCAGCCAAGGAAATCCCACAAATACTTAGAATAAACTATTTTGATGATATAGCTGACTTTTGTCCCGAAATTGGCCAATTTGACGCCAAAGAAATTGTTGCCCCAAAACCTGTCTCAAAGTGCAAAGTGCAGTGAGTTTTTGTTTCGCTTGCTTTTTCCGTTCGCCAATACAAGTCACTGGGCTTAACTGAAATCCTGTTGTTGTTTTCATTGTTGTTGTGGTTTTATACATCGCTCATTGGAGCGGCGGGCTACATTAACCTTGTATCATCCTATGTGTGTGTGTTCAACACATGAAAGCATAATTTATGAGACGACAAAATGCAAATTCTCTTGAGAACAGCTCGAGGTCTGCATTGAGAAAACAAAACATACAAGCCGAGAAGGTCCATTTGACTTGCATTTCTGTAACATAACGAAACCCTGAAAATCGCTTTCCCAATGCGTAACGTTGATGAATAAGGCATGTTTGGGTTATTTTGGTTATTCATAGGACAAGCGGATCAGCAGAAAGTACGGCCGAAGTTTTCGCGGAATGCGAGCGGAGGTAGTACGGCCACATGCTAATTGGGGTCCACGCATTTCAGCCATTCCCATCGCTTCAACAGAAGGCCTCCTTGATGTAGGGATCTATCGCGGAAATGTTAACAGTGATGTCTTCTTGGATTTTGTTCATGACCACTTGGCCCCTAATGTCAATCCTTTTAACGGGATCAATCCGCGCTCGATCGTTGTAATGGGTAAGTTCATTGTTCTTTGGAAAAAGATGTATAGGCTCAATTAACCATGCAGACTGATACCTTACCATTCTTTTTACTTTTATATAGTGATTATTATCTCACAAAAGCAGCCAGTCCACTTAAGAATCATTACAGAGATACCAAGGTCAATACACTGTTCAATAGCAAGTGGAAAATGAACGTTAAACAGGCGTTAGCTGTAATTTTGGTAGAAGGATTTCGGCCAGGCGCAGATGCATTGAAAACAAAAGTTGAGTTATTAACCTTTTCCTTTCTGTTATTATTTTGAAAACAGATAATGCTGCGATTCACCATACTGCCGACGTTGTGAGGGCAATAAACGCCACTGGTGCTCTACTCGTCTACCTCCCCCATACAGCCCCGACTTCATGCCGTGTGAGGGAATAATTTCGCAAGTGAAGTCGTGGATCAGAGAAAATGATCAAGAATGGCGAATGTGTGATCAACCCGAAAACATGGTCATGGAGGGATTTTTAAGCGTTTTCGACGAGCAAGTGCGAAACTACATTCGACACTCTGAATATCTGTAAACTAACATGCACTCTACAGGGACGTAATTAGTCAACCAGCCCTCAAACTGACCTGTTAGCCCACTAGTACCTATGTTTTAGGCCTGCCGTGCTTAATTTGTACTTAAGCGGGTCCCGCCCTCTTGCCTCAGTGGCCCAACGGCGACGACAAGCCAGTATGTATATTAACCCTCCCTGATTAAAGTGGCAGGATTTAGGCCAGGCTGTGAACGATTGACATTTAACTCTTGTGTTTGACAGACCAAGAAATAAAAGCCGAGTTTTTTCACGTAATTTCACGATTTTTATTATTCATGATTATTACGCCCACAAAAACAAAAGTGTGTTCTCTTGTGTGTTTTAACTTTCCCGACATAAATTTGGTTTTAATTTTAGCAATTGTTGTCAGAATTATTGATTTTACACTATAACAAAACAATGTAATGAAGCGCAGGATTGTGCCTGTTTACTGGAGCCCATTCAGCTCCGTTAACAGGATGCGCTTCTGATTCTCAAATTGTGTGGAGTCCAAGACATCAGCATC